CAGTCCTATTTTGAGAGCCTTTTAGCCTAAACGGACTATTCCTAAAGGTCCGTGGTAATGTACCAAACAGTGTTTCTTTGCTATTCATAAGGTATATAATAAAATTTATTTACATGAATTCACCCAAATCACAACTTAAAAAAAAGGAGATGGTAAAAAAAAAGGACTTTCAATATTTATGACATTACTCTTAATGACCAGTTCCGCAGAATCTGAAGCTGTTTAGAAGACACACATACTACTTACCTAGAGGGCTACTGCTTCAGGCAGCTAAAGCTGAAAGAAGAGAAAAATGACTTTTGTTCTAGATTCCTAGGAGATGACGGGCCAGATGGGATCATTAACTGCCCCTGGTCACCTCAAACTCCAACAGAACAAATACTGGCAGATCTCCTGGTTTTGCACATAGCCTCTCCTGGTTCAGAGAAACAATTTAGCTTGCTGTCTATTTAACAACCATGCTTGTATTTACGAAGCAAAGACTGGTTAAATGTGCAGATGATAAATATTTACTTGCAAGAAGGAATTCTTTTTCCTTTTTCCACTAGTGACATTTCTCCACAAATTTCAAGGGGGAGGCCAGGTGATATTTCAGGTATTCCCATGTGGCACCTTGTTCATGTCTGGGGACCTCTGGACATGGCTATGTTCATCTCATGATCCTGGAAGGAATAAATGGAAGTCAAGTGACAGATAGTTTCCTCTGGAAAGACACCAAACTTACCCAGATAGTTGTTGCTCTTGTACATCTCAGTGATGTTGATTTTTGTGGCTCCCTGAGGAATCTCAACCACTCGGTGGTAGCCCAGGCTAGTGAGGGCATGCTTAAACACGCCTGACACAACTTGACAGCCGGTGTTATCACCTCCACATACCCCGCACTTGTCTACGACTTTGTCGGAGCCCAGGTAGTCATCACAGCCAATACTCTGCAAAGAGGTAGAACATAAGGACTCTTATAGTAAATATCTGGAGCATCAAAGTGGGGAAAGAGGGGAGAGGAGATGACTGAAGACCTCTTGGCAGGACTTGAACTACTGACCTTGCTCCTGCCCTCATTTAGCTCTTGTAGATGAAGAAGTTCATTCTTCCCTTCACTCAACAGATATGAATAGAGTACCTACTCTGGGCAAGGCACTTTTCTAGGTATTTGAGAAATGTACAACATAGTGGTAGGGTGGGAGTCTCCCAAAGTAAGTCAAACCAGGTGCCATTGAGTTGACTGACTCATGGTGATCGCATGTATGTCAGAGTAGAACTCCATAGGGTTTTCAATGGATGATTTTTGGAAGTAGATTGCCTGGCTTCCTTCCATGGCAACTCTGGGTAGACTTGAACTTCCAACAGTTCTGTTAGCTTAACCCCTTGCACCACCCAGGGATTCTATCAACAGTAAACAAGACAAGTAAATGAATAGAGTGTGTTTGGTGGCACTAAATCATCAGCAGGAAAATAATGGTGGGAAAGAGAATAGGGGAGGTGTGGGGCTGAAAAATTTATTTACATGGGGTCAACAGTGAGGTTGCCCCCCAAATTCACACCCCTGTTGGGCTCTGGGAGGGAAAAGGCTAGAACAAACTTGGATTTTTATATCAGAATCTCTTTGAAGTCATGATAAGCACTGCATCTAAAATTGGGTTTTATCCAAACTCACCCATTTAAAATTACAGACAATATAAACATTTGATAAAGTAACCCTAAAAGCAGTATTTCCAGGTTAAACTCATTAGGAAATTAAAATAAAGTTCTTTGGGATCTGAATTCCCACTGGTTAACTGTGGATAACTGAGGAATTGAGTGGCAGGACTTTTATCTAGTCACCCTCAAAGCACCTTCCCCCAGGCAGGAGGGTGAAAGGAAGCAAGGGATAGAAAGTCAGCAAACTGGATGATAAGCTTTGAGATAGCTGGTGCTTTTTATATAGTGAGTTGCATCAGCGTTAAAAAGAATTCTGACCTTCCTGCCTCTTCTCCCCAACCCACCAAAAAAGAATCTTCCCATTACTCATTCCAAAATATTTTTTGCTTTATCTTTCCTCTCCTTCAGTGCTGTTTCTGTTAGGGTAATTCCATTTTGCGTAAAAAAAAAATGGCATGGAATTATTTTCGTGGAATCCTTTTCTACTTCTGGATCTGAATCCATAGAGCTCATGATCATGTTTTCTGAGTGCAAAATTGAGACCCATGGTCTGAGCAAAGAGTTTTGTCATATTTCCATAGGCAGAAGAAGTGAGTGGACTGTAGTTTAGATGATAAAATACTGGGATGACCGGATCATTTCACTGGGTAATAGGGATGTGGGACTAATTCTTGATACCAGAATGGTGTTCTAAAACTTGAGACATATGCTTGCTGAATCACAGGCTTGTCTTAGTTCTTGAATTTAAAGAGCAGTCTATAGATGATGGCTCATGGACAAAGTGGTCAGCAAACCATTCAAAGTGTCTGTTCATCTTGGTCCTACAAGTCACATCCTACAGGCAGAGTCAAACCAAAAGGTATTCCTTCTTTCCCCTCCAACCTCAAGTTTGATTGACATCTCTCTACAGGTATTCCAAGTCTACATTATTGTTTCCATATTCCTCAGTGCACATTAGTCCATCAGTAATAACTGGTCCCCCTTCACAAATAGCTTCTCTGTAAAACATTATTCCTGACAATAACAGAACATCATCTCAGTATGTTCATCCACATCCAATTAGCCTTTCAAAATGCCATGTTTGCTATGTATTTCTCCTGCCTCAAATATTTCCTGCCCGTGCTCCATACACATTTTAACAGAAAAATATGGAAAATGTTTTCCGTGCATGGTTTTAACTCAACCTCCCAATGCCATACTTATTCAATCTGTATGCTAAGCAAATAACCTAAGAAGCTAGACTATATGAAGAAGAACGCAGCATCAGGGCTGGAAGAAGAATCAATAACAACCTACTATATGTAGATGATACAACTTTGCTTGCTGAAAGTGAAGATGACTTGAAGCACTTACTGATGAAGATCAAAGACTACAGTCTTCAGTAAAGATTATACCTCAACATAAAGAAAACAAAAATCCTCACAACTGCACCAATAGACAAAACAAAACAAACAAAATGTCATTGCCATCGAGTTGATTCCGACTCATAGTGAACCCCATTGAGTTTCCAAGATTGTAAATCTTTACGGAAGCAGACTGCCTCATCTTTCTTCTGTGGAGCAGTTAGGGGATAAGAATTTGGTTTGGTTAACAGTCAAATGCCTTAACAGCACCAGAGCTCCTTGGACCAATAAGCAACATCACGATAAATGAAGAAAAGGTTGAAGTTGTCAGGGATTTTATTTCACTTGGATCCACAATCAACACCATGGAAGCAGCAGTCAAGGAATCAGACATTGTATTGCACTGGGCAAATCTGCTGCAAAAGATTTCTTTAAAGTGTTAAGAAGCAAAGCTGTCACTTTCTTCAAAGACTCAGGTATGCCTAACCCAAGCTATGGTATTTTCTCCCCCCCACCCCTTTATAAAAAATTTAATTGTGATTTTGGTGAAAGTTTACAGAGCAAATTCATTTCCCATACAGCAGTTCATACACATTTTGTTTCATGACATTGACTGCAATCCCCACAATGTAACAGCTCTCTTTTCACCTCCTCCCTGTAGTGACCTCTTCCCTGTGTTCTTCCTTCCTATGCATTCCTGTGCAAATACTGCCTTTCTGTTCTCCCATAATTGATCATTCTAAGGAGTGTATTTACCTGGTGTAAATGTTCACCCTATTTGTCTATCTATTGTTTGGCTGGAATCCAGGCCTGAAGGGTCAAGCCATGGTATTTTCAATTACTTCATATGCATGTGAAAGCTGGACAGTGAATAAGGAAGGCTGAAGAAGAGTTGATGCCTTTGAATTGTGGTGTTGGTGAAGAATACTGAAAATACCATGGACTGCCAGAAGAATGAACAAATCGGTTGTGCAAGAAGTGCAACCTGAATGCTTCTTAGATGTAAGAATGACCAGACTTTGTCTCACCTACTTTAGTCACATTTAGTCAGAAGGGACCACTCCCTGGAGAAGGATATCATGCTCATTAAAGTAGCAAACAAATAAACAAACAAACAAAAAACAAACTCCACTGTCAAGTCGATTCCGACTCATAGAGACCCCTCCTTGAGTTTCTGAGGTGGTATCTCTATGGAAGTAGATTGTCTAGTCTTCCTTTTGAGGAGTGGGAATACCCTCAATGAGACGGACCGACACAATGGCTAGAATGATGGGTTCAAACATAGCAAGGCTTGTGAGGATGGTGCAGGACTGGGCGGTGTTTCATTCTATTGTACATAGAGTCACTATGAGTCAGAATCAACTTGATAGCACCTAACAACAGCAACCCAATCCCTTTGTCCTCCCTTTTTTTTGGGGTGGGGGGAATGCCACCACCAACAGTTTTGGAAAGTAGAATCTATGTTGTTCTTGACCAAGCAAGATTAGAACCAAATTAAGGATATGTTCCTGATTGCTGCTAATAGGAAATGTGGAGAGGAAAGCCGGTCGGCACTCAACCCTTGTCCTGTATGGCTACATATCTCACCCTCCTCCCCTTTCCCTACCTATGGTTCTGCTACCCCTGGTATCAACTTTTCCTAGACTGAGCTCATTCTCATGGAGACACTCCAGGCAAAGGGAACAATATGGTTATGTGTTGATTTATGTCCTCAAAAAAAATAATGTCCAAGTTTTGACATTTGGTACTTGTGAAGGTGACCTTTTTTGGAAATTGGTCTTTGCAGACATAACTCATTAGTTGACATAAGGTCGTACTGGAGTAGGGTGGGACCTAAACCAACATGACTGATGTCCTTATAAGAAAAGGAGGAGAGACACACAGGGAGGAATTCCATGTGATGTCAGAGGCAGAGATTGGAGTAATGCATCTACAAGCCAAGGAATGCCAAGGATTATGAAAATCCACCAGAAGCTAGGATGAAGGCATGGAACAGATTCTCCCTCAGACTGCTCTAGAAGCAACTATCACCTTTGTTGACACCTTGATTTTGGACTCCTAGCCTTCAGAACTGTGAGATAATAAATCTCTGTTGATTTAAACAACCTAGCCTTTGAAAGTTTGTTATAGCATTTCTAGGAAATTAACACCAAACCAAAACCAAGTGAGTTGCCATAGTGATGATTCCAACTCATGGTGATCCCACGTGGGTCAAGGTGGAACTGTGATACATAGGGTTTTCAATGGCTGATTTTTTAGAAGCAGATCACCAGGGTTGTTGCCTGAAGAGCCTCAAACCACCAACCATTTGGTTTGCAGCCAAACGCTTAACTGTTTGCACCACCCAGAGACTTGGGGAATGAATACAAATGTGCAGAAAGGCATGGAGGTAGGAAAGAACATGGTATATTCATAGAAATGCAAGCCTAGGATTGCTGGGGAGGGATGAAAAGAAGCTGGAGAGTTCAGCTGAATCTGTCAGCAGTCTTGTCTGCCAGGCTGAAGAATCTGAATTTTATCCTATGGCATTATCAGTCACTAAGGCCAGAAGGGGAGTGCCATTGCTTAGATATGTTCTTCCAATGACAGCTTTGGCTGTAGTGTGGAGTGGGCCCCACAGTGGAGTCAAAAGGCAGTCTAGTGAGTCTTTCTCTTGCAAATGGAGTGTGTGTGTGTGTGTGTATGTGTGTGTATGGAGATGTTAAAAAATGAATGAGAGCTGCCAAAGACAGACACAGATAGTACATCAATCCTCAGCCCTCATCCCAGTTAGAATGGAATCATCACAAGATAATTATACAACCCTGCATCACTCCAGACAACCACAGACAGACAAAATGCCATCTCATCTTGTAAAGCAGACATTATAGTAAATTCTTTGTATCATTTGAGGGGTCCCCCACCAGATTTTTCTTTATAGTACAGTCTCTCCGAATGAATCTAGATAT